TTTTAAAAAATCAGCTATTCGTACACACTCACATATATAAATTTTTATTTGGAAGTAATTTTAAACTTACATAAAAGTTGCAAGAATAAAAGTGCAAAAAGCATCTGAATATCCTTTACCAGATTCACCTGCTGTTAACATTTTAACCCATTGTTCACTTGTTCATTACTCTCTCTCTACACACACAAACACACACACACACACACACACACTTTTTCTGAATCATTTAAGACTAAATAGTAATAAAGGGCTATAAATAATAGCCCTTTATTCCTAAATACTTCAATGTGTATTTCCAAGAATAGGAATATCTTCTTACATAACCACCATACAGCTTTGTCAACGTTTGTAAATTTAACTTTGATACAATACTTTAATCTAGCATCTGTATTCCAGTTTTGTTAATTGACTCAATAATGTTGCTTAAGGCATTTCTCCCCCTTCAATACAGGATCATTTAGTTGTCATGTCTCTTTAGATTCCTTTAATCTGGAACATTTCCACAGGCTTACTTTGTCTTTTATGACACTGACATTTCTGAAGAATGCAGCACACACACCCCTTTTTTAAAATAAAGAAGTCCTCATTTGGGGTTTATCTGATGTTTCTCCACGATTAAACTCAGGTGATGCATGCCTGGTCAGAACACTACGTAAGTGAGGATTGTCCGTCTTAACTTTTATTTCAAGATGTCCATCTGTCCCTCATTGGTGATGTTAACATTGATCACTCGTTCAACATGTTACCTCTTAGTTTTGACCTTTTGGGATGACTTAAGAAGAGCATATAATTGGATTTTAATCCTTGTAGAGTTTCTGTCTGATTCATTGTCAACAGCTATTTGCTTTATATCCATAAACCATTGGCAGTACTCTTGGTCCACAGTTCTTTCCACTGTGCCAACACGTAGCACGCAGCTGTGACATTTCCCTGGGGTCCAGCGCCAGCCTCAGGCATCACCTTACCAAGACATTGGCGGGGTTCAGCCACGGCAGCCAGCCTTACGCTGGCCTTATGCAGTCAGACTCAAGTGGCTGGTGTCATGATCTCAAGATCCTGGATCCTAGAGAGCATCAGCAGAGCCTGGGGAGGAGACTTTAATTTTTTTTAAGTTAAAAAAAAAGGATTGTTTATTTTTGTTGATTTTTGGTTCAGGTGGGAAGTAATAAGGCTTATTTAATTATTTTTTAACAGAGGTGCTAGGGATTGAACCCAGGACCCTGTGCATGGTAAGCATGTACTCTACCACTGAGCTATATACTTTCCCCCAGATCTTAGCTAGTGCTTCTAAACCTGTTAAAATGGGCATCCTTGGGCCCATTCTAGACCTCCTCCTCATAATCTCTGTGGTTAGGCCCCTAGAATCTGTTTTAACTAGCATCCCAGGTGATTTCTGATAGACACTGAACTTCGAAAATCAATGCTCCATACCAGGGGTTCTAAAAGAAGACAGAGTGGGCATGAACTTGGATGGGGAAAGAAAAATCTTTATTTTCCCTAGCTTCTAACTAAAATTTAGCATTTCAGTTAATTATGAATGCATGCAAAAAAAACTGCAGTAGAATGAACAGCTTTGATGCTCTGAAAATCATGTCACACACACAAAACCATAGATACTGCTGGAACTCGTCATAGTGATTGCAGATATCTTGAAATATTGTTTATACTCTTCACTTCTCAAAATTACAGTAGTTATGAAACCTGCTGCTGGATTTGTTAATGTATTAATAAAAAAGCATGTATATTACAGTATCATAAATTAGGTTTAAACATCACTTTAATAAACTATTTCAATACAACTGTTTTCCTTTGTAAATCTATGTATTTTGTTTGTAAATCTATGCATTTAAAAACATCATTCTGAGGTGGGGAGGGTATAGCTCAGTAGTAGACTGCCTGCTTAGCATGCACATAGTCCTGGGTTCAATCCACAGTACCTCCATTAAAAAATAAATAAATAAACCAAATTTATAAAAAATTAAAATAAAAACATCATTCTGAGAAGAGAGTTCAAAGACATAGAAAATGACCCCTGTACTTTAGACTTTCTGATTGTCTTGAGTACGCTGACTCCCTCCCCACAACTCTGAACACTGGCAACTGCAGAATGGAATAGTCCAGGGTGGGAGGACACAGCACAGCATCTGGGAGTGAGAGAAGGGACTCTGGCCAGCGGCATGCCCCATACCTCTATTGAGTACAAACTGTCAATTATGAGTTCTTTTTTTAATGATCAAAAAGCTGTCTATTTAACTTTCACCTTCACTGAATACTTAACTAAACTGGGGAAAAACCCAACACCAAAAAGTTGTGAGTCTCGCAGAGCAAGACACTTCCCGTCCCTTGTTAAAAGCACATATGATGAGGTGTAAAGACAAGAATATCTGCAGGAACTGACAAAAGAAATGGAGACTAAGCAAAAAACAAACAAACAAACAAAACACAAAACCCAAAACCCCCAAAAACAAACCAAAAAAACCCCCTCTGCTCAGGGCCCCAGAAGGACTCTGGAAATGAGTTCCAATTTCTGATGATACACAGTAGAAGCAGACAGTAAAGGGCACAAATCTTAAGTGCAGAGTGAAATGACTTTTAAACACGTATATACCCTTGTAACCACTACCTGGATCAAGACAGAAGAGCTCTTCAGTACCCCAGGTGTCTACTTCCTGCGTTTTCCTAGTCAATATACTCAATCACACTCTGAGAGGTAACCACTATCCTGATTTCTATCACCATGGATTAGTTTTACCTACTCTTGAACTTCACAGAAATCAAATCATATCATGTGTATTCATTTGAGTCAGGCTTTTTCCCTTTGACATTATGTCTGTGACACTCATCCATGTTATTGGGGAAGTGGTTGTTCACTCTGCCCTACTGCCAGGGAGCAGTCCATGTATGAACTCCAAAATTTATGTATTCACTCTTCAGTTGCTGGACATATGGATTGTTCCCAGCTTTTGGTTATTAAGAATAAAGCCATGATGAGCACTCTGGTGTCTGCCTTTTGGTGGACATAAGCACGCACTTCTGTTGGGTGTACATCCTGGGACACAGAGGATCAGATGTTCAGTCTGAGTAGTTACTGCCAACAGTTTCCTGAAGGGAGTGCACCAATTTACACCATTAGAACAGATAGAAGAGTTCTCATTGCTCCACTCCTCTGACCAACTCTTAGCATTTCAGTTTTTAAAATTTTAGTCCTGGAGTGAGTGTAGTAGTACCCAACTGTGATTTCAATTTTGCAATAAATCCTAACTATTTTAAGTATGACTTCTTTTTATGGAGGATTTCAAAGATACAGAAACTTCCTACAGCAGTTCAAGGTAACAATGACACAATAATACTTGACATCAGTAAGAAAGTTAGGAGGAAATATTCTAATGAGCACATTTTTCAGAAAACCCATGTTTAACATTGCAAACACCCACATTAATTTTATCCCTTTTAGGTAATCATTTGCTAAAATGCATTATGGAGTAATGAACTTAAATTCTATGCTGCAGACATGCCTGAACATGCCCACAGTGTTGAATGAGTCCTGAGACTGAGAAATCCTGAATCATTTCTGCATCAAATTCCAAAGCCCACAAAAGCTCCTTGTTGCCTCCCTTAGTTGTTGTTGCTGTTGTTGTTTTAACTGCATTTATATTTGTGGGATGTGAAGGAGGAAGACTATCTGGTCAGAATATTTTGAGGAGAATTTAGTCAAAATCCATGTATAACACCCTCATTTTATCTGAATGTTCAATAAGATTGGACTTCAAGCAGGGAATCCACTTAACACAAGCACTCAGACCACAGATGAGATCCACAGTTTTATATAATGCCTGGGATTTTTCAGAGTCTCTTCTAGGGTGAGTTCAATTAACAAGCGAACGCATTTTTTAAAAAATTTTATTTTCCTAATGGAGGTACTGGGGATTGAACCCAGGACCTTGTGCATGCTAAGCATGTGCTCTACTACTGAGATATATCCTCCCTCCAGTGAATGCATTTAAATTGACTTTCCTTCACATTCTAGGTTAAATTGCTGAAAGAACACTGGCAATAAAGAAGATGGATTTAAAAAAAAACTAAAAATTTTGAATTGCAAATATAGATATAAGCTGGCTGAAAAAGTGAAATCCCACAAAAATTAAAACCCCTTCTTTCCTCCATCCTACGAGCCCTAATCCACTTCCTTTCCCTATAATAACCTGGTTACCAGGTTGATTTCAATAGTCCCAGATCGTCCTATGCATTTACAAAAATGTGTTTACTTTAGACATATGTACACACATCATACATTCACATGCACATACATATATTTACATACAAACATATATACACACATGCATATTCATTACACATATAATTTGTTTTCATAAATGGGGACAGTATTATAGATACTACCCTGAAACTTTTTCACTAAAGAAAATATTTTAGAAATATGTCTGTCAGTACATACAGATGTACCTTGTTCTTTCAACAACTACATAGATTTTTTTTTTAATTAAACACTTCAGTTGAGTATAGATGTGTAAAATATGTAAACATAAAAGGGCCTAAATTAGAAAGTTAAGGTCCTTTAACTTCTTTCCTGACCTCCCATTTCTATTCCAGAAACAATTTCTATTAAATTCTTAGGTGTACTTGTGGAAATTTTCTTGCATATTGACAAGCATGTTTACCTTTTTTTAGTTTCAAGAAAATGGGATAATATTATGCAAATCATTCTGGAACTTGCTTTTATGTCTAACACTACATTGTAAACATTTTTCTATGGTATTACATATATCTCTACCTCATTCTTTCTAACAATTGCTAAGCATTCCATTGTATAAATACATCATAATTTACGTAATTATTCCTCTACTGATGGAAACTGAGATTGCTTTCAGGTGCACTTTATTTTTCTATTTTATTTACTTATTTATTTATTTTTTATGGGGGTACTGGGGATTGAACTCAGGATCTCCAGCATGCTAAGCACATATGTTACCTCTGAGTTATATCCCCACCCACCTTGTTTTTCTATTTTAAAATAATGCTACAATGCACATCCTAGCAGTAGAACTGCTGGCCAAATGGTATACACATTTTTAATGATTGCTAACTGCCTTCCCAAAAGATTGTACTCATTTACATATCGCCCAACAGTGTGTAAGAAAATCCTCCCCAGGCTAAGGAAGAGATTTGTAAAAAGCTGTGAGATTGCCCCGCCTCCACTTCACCATATACTAATTGACACACACAAGTGAGCTGTAAGGGAGGTCTCCAGTGATCTACCCGAGGGTCACACTCATTTTAATTAATAATCTGAATGAGCACACAGATGGCAGGATAAGCACATCTGAAGGTGATATAAAAAGTCTCAGCGGGTTAGCTAATAGGACAGGTGACAAAATCAAGATGTCAGAAAATACTCTTGACAATTAGCAATTATGGGACACATAATGAGATTAAATTCAACGTGGACAAGGCAAAATCCTACACTTAGGTACAAATACAAATTACACAAGTACAGGATGGAGAAGGCCAGGTGCTACAAAGTAGCAATTTTCTCTCTTTTTACCCAGTAGGAGATTGAGGCTGAGTGACCTTGAGTCATAAACTGGTAAGTGGTAGAGCTGAGGTCTGAACCCAGGTTGGTTTGACTCCAAAACTGTCTCCACTACACCACGATGTTGCCTCACAGCTCAATAATAGCACGCATGAAAAAGACTGGGGTCGGGAGTTGTGTATAGTAGGTTTGTAAAGAGTCATCAGGCTTCATGAAAAGAGTGTGCCTGGCAAGGAAGGGGAGTGGCCTGCTTCACTCTGTGGCTGTGTGGGCGCACCTGGAGCCACCTGTTCATTTCTGAGCACTTCCACCTAAAAGGTGGACACGACCTCACATGTGTCCAAGGAGCAGCTGCGAGGGTGCTGATGAGTGGAACTGAGTCCACGTCTTAGGAGAAAAACAGCAGATGTCTTGGAATGCTTGAAGGCCTATGCTGTTGAAGAAGACTCAGCCTTACACTATGGGCTCCAGAAACCATAAATAGAAACTCTGAGTGGAAAATATAGACAGTTGAATTTTGTTCAATAAAAAGAATTTTCTAGCAATTAGAGATGCTGAAAAATGGAATTAACTGCTTTAGGGTTGTGATATAATGGGGAATATATATTTGGTCTTTGGCTCTGGCTCCTGGCATAGAGCTCCTAAAACTCTTGGAATTTCCTGAGTAATAAGGGTGACAGGAACATCTTTTGTTCCAATAAGGCCACTCCAGGTGGCCCCTAGATAGCTTCAGGATGAGGCTGGCAGCTAGAAAGACCAAGCTTGATTAGAACTTGGAACTTTCAGCTCCACCCTGCAAATTTTAGGTAGGGGAGAGAGGCTGGAGATTGAATTAATCATCAATGGCCAATGATTTAATTACCCACACCTATGTGACAAAATCTCCACAAAACCCCTACACGATGGGGTTTGGGAAGCTTCTGAGCTGGTGAATACATCATGGTGCTGGGAAGGTGGTGCACCCAGAGAGGGCATGGAAGCTCTGAGGCCCCATCCTCCATCCCTTGCCCTACACATCTCTCCCATTTGGCTGTTCCCCAGTGGTATCCTTTATAATAAATGGGTATGGTAAGTACAGTGCTTTTGAGTTCTGTGAGTCATTTCAGTGAATTATTGAACCTGAGGAGGGGGACTGTGGGAACCCCTGACTTTGCAGTCAAGTCAGATGGGTGTGTGGGTACCCTGGGTACCTGATACTTGACACCGGTATCAGAAGTGAGGGCAGTCTGTGGGACTAAGTGCTGAAACCTGTGGAATAACTCCAGGTAGTTACAGTCAGAACTGAACTGAATTATAGGATACTCAGTTGGTGTCAATTGGCTGGTGTCTAGAGGGAAAAACCTATCAAGGAGTAGCAAGTTTCCCATTACTGGAGATAGAGTCAAGCAGGGACAGATGAGCTGATGGTTGGCAGAACTGTTGCAGAGATTCATGCTGTGGGTGGGGGATTGGCCTAGATGAACTGTATAGCAGGGAGGTGTGGTCCACGGATAGGAGCTGATTTGTAAACAGTCTATGATGAAGTAGACAGTTGTGCAAAGCAAGACTTCAGGACCTCTCAGAGCAGCCTGACATTGCTGTGATGCTCAAGTACTTGCTTAAGGGATTAGCTTCCTTAAACACAATCCAGACCTACCTGGGTATTACTGAATTTGGTGGTGAGTTGTATGAGGGGTGTGTGTGGCATATTGGTCATGCACAGTAGGACCACAGTTCTGCAACAGATTGGAAATTACAAAGCAGGCCCTTCACCAAACACAGCCTGAGAAGCATTGCTCAGAGGCCTGGGCCTCACTGTGAGGTCCTTGTGGCCACTCTGTCTAAGTAGGGCTCCTCCTGTTCCTTTCCCCAGGCTGCCTGTGTGTTTTCTCCACAGGAGGTAACCAAAACTTGCAATCATCCTATGTATTTGTGTTACTTATTTATTGACTACTTCCCTGCCACAAGGGCAGGGACCTAAGCAGTCTTATTTATCCCTGCATCACCAGAGCTCAGCCTGTCTGGCACCAAGAAATGACCCTGAGTGGGGGTTGAATGAATGACTTGATATATGAAAAGCACTCCTAATATAACTTATGTTTTTGGTTATGACGAGCTTTTAAATTATTCAACCAACCCTCCCACTGAAGAAACTAAAAATATAGAAAAATATTAAAGTCACCTCCCAAAAAGCACTGAAGTGCTCACAAGATAGTAAGGAATTAAATGTAGCCAAAACAAAGGCAAGTGGGAACCCAGAGAGGTAAGCAGAGCATGGAAATTCTTTTTTAGTTTGAAAATACTTATCAATCCTGGCAAAATTTATCTTGGGTTTTGGTGACCTCAAGGCACATGAGGGCAAAAATCAAATCCCCAGGATCCACTGAAGTAGGTAAGTGGAATAGGAGACCCACCCCACATTAAGCTGGGACCCCACAGGGTTCCACATTCAAGAAAAGAGAGAGCCGGAGGAGACCACCTCTACCCCAAAGACTCCAAGAAGCTTGCCCCTGTGCAGAGCGGAGGAACATCTCTGAGGTGCTGGGAGCACTGATCAGCGTTCACATCAATTTGCAGCTCCGTTCTGCATCACCTGGGTGGTTTAAAGTCTTGAGCTGGGAGTTTAAACGTGTCTGGCAAAAGCAAATGCACACCCTCCCTCTGATTCTGACACCAATTCTAATACATGTTTTTTTTTTTCCCACACCACCAAGCAATTCTCTGACACCAGCTGGGTGTCCTATAACTCAACTCAGTTCTGACACTATCTATCTGGAGACAGTGTTGTATCCCACAATTTAAGGGCTTAGTCCTAGAAGACTGCTTCTCCACCTGCAACTTCAGATGCAAAGCACAAATCCAGGTTGTCACCTGTGCTTCTGAACAACTGGCTATAGATTGAAGGTTCCAATGACCCTCTCTGTGGGTCTGATTAATTTGTTAGAGTCCAGAACTCAGACACATTTTACTAGCTAGATTCCTGGTTTATTATAAAAGGATATAACTCAGGAACTGCGAGATGGAAGAGAAGCATGGGGCAAGGTATGTGGATGTCGGAAGGGGCGTGAAGCTTCCACGGAGCTTTTGGGTTTTTATGGAGGCCGCATTACATAGGCACGATTGATTAAATCATTGGCCATTGGTGACTGAACTCAATCTCCAGCCCCTCTTCCCTCCCAGGAGGTTGGGATTGGACTGTAAGGTCTAACCTTCTCATCATGCGGTTGGTTCCTCTGGTGACCAGCTCCCATCCTTAGGAAACTTAGGGGCTTTCCAAAAGCCACTTATTAACATAACAAAAGACACCATGATCACTCTCATTACTTGGAAAATTTCAAAGGTTTTAGGAGCTCTGTGCCGGGAACAGGTACAAAGACCAAACGATATATTTCTTATTATAAGTCACAGTATCATACTCCCTACCCAAAGTCAACTCATCCTAAGCCTTATATTGTTCCTAAAAATTCATCCTCAAGAGCAACAAACAGCACATAATCAGGCAGCCAAGCACACAGAGAAACACATTACATCATGAGCACGTGCCAGGAGAAAAATCAGACAGAGCCACAAAAACCTCACATACTGGAATTACCAGTCACAGATAGTAAAATCATTATACTGACTGTTTAAAAAAATAAAAGACAAATTTGACAATATCTGAAGGGAAGAGCAAACTGTAAAAAGTAACCAGGCAGCCTTGGATTAGGCAATGGTTTCTTAGATACGACACGAAAAGCACAAGCAACGAAAGGAAGAACAGATGAACTAGATCTCGTCAAATTAAGAAACTTTCATGCTTCAAAGGACACAATCAAGAAAGTAAAAAGACAAGAGAATGGGAGAACATTTTGGCAAATCATATATTTAGTATCCATACAGTATAAAGAACTCTTAAAATTCAATAATAAAAGGAAAAATAACTCAATAATGAAATTGCTTTGCAATTTGTTTGTTCATGGGTTTGAAAAACTTTAAGGAGCTAATGCACTAACTCCTTTAACTAACTCAGGGCAAGCCAGGTTTTGCCCCTATAGGTTCCTCTATGGTCTTTTATCAGGCTGTGTGCTAGCACTGGCCAGAGCTTTTAACTGAAGGCCATTGATACAAAACCCAGCCAAAGTGTTCCAATTGAGTATTCGTGCTCAGTGGCTTTGGTGGAAATAAAATTCAAAACAGTATTTGAGCCTTGATATCATATTTCCCACAGAAGCAATCTGAGACAGGATTGTGTTTTGGACACAACAGACCACAAGGATTTGTGAAATCAGTAACTCCACCAAATGGTTCCAAAGATGTTAAGTGAACAGCCAGTGGCCACACTGCTGGTGAGTTGTGGGGCCATGATTTGAACCCAAGCAGTCTGACACTAGAGCCACCCCTGCCCATGATCCTTCGAAAGTGATTTCCAGTCCCTGCCCCTGTCCTCTGGCATATGGTCTGGTCAGGTGACAGTGCCAGGTGAGGAGTGTTTGATAACCAGAGTGTGTGGTGATCTAGGACCACACGAAGGTTCCATCTGTGTCTTTCCTGAGAAGTGTGGATTTACTCTAGACACTGGTCCTGGTAGGAGCCAGAGTTGTGATTCTGAGGGGTGGGGCAAGCCGGTGCACTTTGTTCATCTGGGGCTGTCCTGAAGTTCTGCAAAATTTTGGTAGCAGAATGATGTGTTGAGGAACAGAAACTTCTGGGGTCTCTGGTACTTAACGTAGACACTCAGCACGGTGGCTGCTAGCCTTCTGAGGACTGGAGAGTGAGGAATCAATGCTTCTGTCCCTGACTTAGTTCCTGGGACACCCTTGGCGGATTGAGTCTATGATGATAAGACTCATCTCAGGAGCAGGACCATTTGGGGGCGGCTGTTTCCGAGCCTCAGAAGCAAATTTCCTTGGGATTGCTGTCTTCTGTGCAGATCAGTTGACATCATTCTGGACAAGAAGTATGTAGGCACATATTCAAGGGTCCAGCCCAAGATGGGACTGTCCCCTTTGCCTCACAGAATAATGGTGAGGATACCATGTCTGGGTAAGGGGGTTTGCTAAGTTAAGGCAAAGACAAAGAAGGGCAACAACTTCCTGAATGCTGTTGGTTTCAAGTTAAGTCCACAGCCCACGACCAAGAACATGATTAAGGAGGTGGTCAGGAGGGCAAGGCTGGCTATGCAGCCCTACTTATAGGAACAACAACAACCATCATTACTATTACAGCTATCACACTGAATTCTCACTACGTGCTGGGCATAGCACTAAGAGCTTACAAGTTTAGCTCACTGAATTTCTCAATTATCCCAAGATAGTTTCCATCTTACAGATGAAGAATCTGGGCTTCAGAAAGGGTGCTTACTTGCTTAGGGTCACACAACTAGGAGGTGGGAGAACTGGAACTTGAACCCAGATTTGCCTGATTCTAAAGCTGGGGGTGCTGGAGCACTACGATGGGCTACCCCTCAGAGAAGCAGCAAAGTAGAAAAAACTGGGGGCTTAGACGGCACTCTGCAGTTTTGTGGGTAGATCCCAAGGGATGGAGTGGACAGTGGAGGTTTTAAAGAAGAAAGGCCAGTGAGGTGAGTCCTTGTGGCCTACGGCAAGGAAGACCAACAGAGCCCAGAAAGAGGGCTTGGGCCCAAGAAGTGGCAGACAGGGATGGCCTCCTTTCCTGGTGTCTCCTCTGAATAAAGATGACATTTTGTAATCACAGTCACTTTTCGCATCTCTCTCTGGGACCCTGATATTGCTCATACGGCAGCGCCAAATGGACCAGCCCAGCAAAGGCGAAGAGCTGGGGTTCTGGCGCCACTCACAAGGGTGTGGCTGTGAGTTTGTCTCTGGTCTCAACGCTGGCAGACCACCTTCATGTGTCTGCCTAATTTTATTACAGATCTTTCAAAGGGTGTTAATAGTGCCTTACATACAAAGAATAATGGCGCTTTCTGAACTTCCCGTCTGCTTCAAGCAAGCTCTGAAGAGCTCTAGTTGAGTTCCCAGGCTCCCCTCAGGTAGCCTCCTGTGGCAGTGAGGATCCCCAGCAGCTCACTGCTGTCACAGGCACCACGGTCATGTGCTGGGTGGTGATACGGGACCTGGGAGGCTTCCTTACCTCATCTGAAGAGCCATTTTCCACTCTGAATCTTCCGGCCCTTTGGATGGCTCCATCAGCATCGCTGGAAATAAGCTAGGGGACAAAAGAGCACTCAGTTAGGAAGCCGGGTTTGCAATGCCCCTTCCATCTGTCCTTATCTGCCTGTAAGTCAATCAAATCCAGCGAGAGCTGGAGGGCCCAGCCCAGAAGTTGATGGTCTCTTTGAAGCTCTATCAGCCACGTCTTCATACGTAGGGCCCTACAGCCTTCAGGAAGTTGAAGAGTAAGGAACACCTAACCCATAAGAGTGGAAAACAAGAGCATCAAATCTAAATTTGAACATATTCCAATACTGAAAAGCACTGAAGTGATGCTCCCTGAAAAACAACCTTAATGCACGTCACACACAGACAAGTGCAGCTCACACATGGCAAAACCAAAAGCCAAGTCTCAAGTTCAGCCGCCTTCATAGGAAAGCCTGAAAAACTATTAATGACTGGCAGAAACTCAAGGCTCCACTAGCATCACAGAAAGCTCTTGTGCTTCATTCAGTTTTAAACAGTTTCCAAAAGGCCAATTAGTCCCTTCACAGGCGGGCAGCCTGTATTTTAGCTCTGGCAATACGATGCTAACAAATAGACAGTCTTCATTCAAGGAGCTCGATGCTGGAAAGAGATGAGTTAAAAGGAAATCAGGGCTTGGAGCATCAGTCCTAACATCACTGACTCAAGACTTCTTAACTTTCTTCCTCCTATATCTTCTAGATTTCTCAGTAGCAACATGGGGCAATGACATGTCTTATTTTAACCTTTTAAATCTGCCCCAAATTTGCAGCAAAGATCTGCTGACAATTTCCATATCCCAGACTCATTAGAACACACTTGCCTAGAGGGGCACTTCTCACCACTCTAACTCAAGGCTTACCCAGTAAAAAGATACACAATTTTTTATGGAAGATTATCTCGTATTTTCACTCATGTTTAAGAGATATGAAGGTATGAAAATAAATGGAAAAATTTCAGGAAAAAACTCTACAACTTTTCCCAAGGACAATTGTATGAAAAAGATTGATAAATTCCATGATAAATATAAAAATAATAGTATCTACTATTTATTGAGTGCTTCTATATACCATGTACTCTTCTGGCCTTAACATGTATTATCTCATTTTATTCTCATAAAAACAACAAAGTTGGTACTATTATTATCCTCATTTACGAGTGAGGAAACTGAGGCAGAGAAAGTTTAAAATAACCAGCTAAGGTCACATCTAGTATGTCGTAGACCTGGGACGTGAACACAGGCAGTCAGATTCCAGAAGCCCGCTATCCTCATTAACCACTACCCTACTTAACCATCCTCCATGGAATGTCCACGATAGGGTCCAGTTTTATACCTAACTTTATCCTGCAAAATAATTTCTAAAACATATATGAAGGTTTTTATGTATATGTTTAGCTTTTATGTCATCAGATCATTATACTGTTGAGAAACTGAAGATGGGCAATAGAGGCTGTGCTGTGAAGAATTTAATTTGCTCAGGGACGTCTGGCCTTTGCTCTTGGCTCCTGGGAGTTGATCTCTAAGCCCTATGAATGTCCTGTGTGAGTGTCTGTTTACCTGGGGACTTTGAGCCACATGGGAGAGTATGGTGGGGGCTTTGGCCCACATGGTATCATATCTACCTCTGGACACCAAAACCGAGGTGAGCTTCCCTGGTTGGCAATACTCCGTGTGTACTGCCACACAGCATTGCCAGGAGGCATTAGTGCTGCCCATGACCCCATGGGAGAGAACAGCTGGAAGATCTGCCTTTGGATCTCTCCCAGACTCTGTCCTGTGTGTCTGTTCCCTTGGCTGATTTTAATATGTATCCTTTGCTGTAATAAATGGTAAGTGAGCTTAACAGCTTTCAGTAAATTCTGTGAGTCCTCTTCTAGCAAATTATCAAACCTGAGTGACCCTGGGGACTCCTGAACTCTGCAGTTGGTATCAGAGGTGAGGGATCCTGTGGATGGTTTCCTAACCTTACAGGCCAGTTCTAAAGTACAAGAGCAAGATGAATTTAGGTACCCTGGGGTCACTGCCACTTTCACAGGGGAGTATAGAGGATTCAGTGTCAGTTCTTTGCTTGTGAGCCTCTACTCACTGTTAAAATGTAGAGAATAGCAAATCGGTTTCAAGTCGGGTGTTACTGGTATAGGCTGCCTGAAGGGCTTTGGGAGAGGCATTCTGAGGTCACATCTGAACTTGGCAAGGAAAGAGAGCTGCAATCTATTACTAAGGTCTGCCACAGGTGTATAAAGAGAGAGGGTGACACACACATCCCTGAGTTAGAGGTTGGTAGACACAGTCCTCACTATAGCCAGTCTCATCAGGACCCCAAGACTTGGGAAAGGAGCTGATGGTCATTCACTGATTCACTCAGACATTCACATAACCAATGTAAGTAGTGACACTGCCAGGCACAGGCTATACTGCTCTTTTCCTCTGATGAGATTAGAACAAGAAGCTTATTGCTTACCTTGATTAAAATGTTCAAGAAGAAGAAAGGATACGTTTAATGATTGGATGGTTAGAAGGAATTTAGCTACCTCTTGACTACAATCACGAAATCCACAAAGACCCTGGAATCCTGCCTCCATCTAACCTGTTTAACTCCATCACATCACCACCTCCACCATCCCCATCTCCATCCAGGTCACTGTCACTTCTCACCTGGATGATGACCACCTCCTGACCGGCCTGTCTATCCACCCACCTCTGCTTCTCTCCAAACAACTCCTCACACTGAAGCACAGGGGATTTTGGCAACTGCAAATCTGATTGTCCCACGATCCCACCTCTAGCCCAGCAGCCCCACTCCTTTACCCAGAGGACATGCACAACGCTACTCCCTCACCCGGAAGGCCCTCCTCTCCCATCCTCCTGCTGTGAACTCCTTCTCATCACTCAGTTTCACCACAGTCCCCACCTACCTGCCCTGGCCTCGCTGCCCGGGGAAATGCCCCAGAGCAGTCCTCCCAGCTGTGATTTACCTTTCTTTGTGCCATTACCCACGCCCTCCTTCTATGCCCATGGAGAAGCTCCAGGAAGACAGCAACTATGTTTTTTTCATCACTGTACCTCCAGAGCTACACTCATTGCCTGACTTAGTACAGATACCCACTAAAAAGTTATTACACAGGAAATCTGTGAATAGATGAATGCCACATCCCTGTGGCTATGACTGGGGGTGAGATCTAGTCCAGTTCTGGAAACCAGAGAATGTTCATTACTCACACAAGAAATTTCAAAGAAATTCTACCACATCTATCATGAAGGAAAGACCAAAGTGAAGGACAGAACAAATCACATGAATCACCATTTGTGAGGGAAAGGCAGCTCGAGTGGCAATGTGATCAAACTTGCCAGGTCAAACTATCCCTGCTGACCTCCCACTGGCCAGGCCCGTCTCAGGTGAGGGTGGGTGTTAGGACATTAGGTGGGAAGGGGATCTACCAGTCACACTGGGGACATGATTCTCGCAGGGACGTGAAATGGCAGCCCCAGAGCTCCCCTGCCCGCCTCACCCTCACAGCTGGCTTGGACAGCTGGCTAAGTAAAGCAGAGGGTGCCGTGGAGGCTTGTGCTGACCAGGCTGGTACACCAGCTGATGTGAAAGCTCCAGTGAATTATGGGCTGAGAAAAACAACACTGCAGAAAAAAAAATCCATTTAACATGACAGAGAAGCTGTTTCTATCAGTAGTTTTCTTTAAAGCCTCTGATCTGGCCAACTAAAACTATGTAAGATCTATAAGCTCTTCCCTTTGTTGGAAGGAGGTTTGCCACAGGCATAACATAAAGACCCATCTAGATGCCCAGTACTGCACACCCAGAAGCCCTTTCCCCTGACGCCTTCTACGTGGTACAGAGTTCTGGCTGCTGCCACCTTCCACAGTAATGGAACTATAGCCAGACACATGGCTAGACCACATTTCCCTCAAGGTGGCCATTTGACTTAATTCTCCCCACTTGAAGGTGGGTCAGAGTCCCAGGTGGCACACAGGGATCTCGGCCCTTTAGAGAGGGAAGGTGCCTCCCCTACGTGTTCTTCCCCTCTCCACTGACTAGAACCTCAATGACCAGAGAGACCTTGACGTCCATATTGAAGACAGTGGGTTCATCTCGAGCCTGAACGTGCAGGGCAGAGTCACTCAACAAAAAATGCTTGGTTGGAAATGACAGAGAAATATAGTCGTTCTTAACTGCATTTCAATTTTCTAGGCCAATTATATACCCTGTAATATACCCTACAAGGAAGAACAAAGAAAAAAATCATTGAACCAATGACAAGTCCATAACTTAAAATGTAGAAACTGATCTGAGGTATATGAGCAAATGTTCTAGAAAACATATTGGCTATAAAAAGCACAAGGAAATTTTAGGCAATTGCTAATTGTAATAATTTGGGAGGATACTTGGTCTATGAAAATGGAACAATCCGTGATTAGCTTTCAGATGTAAAGTATAGTTTCTGAATTTTGAAATGTAGACCACATTTCACAGTGACCACACTGAATTGAAAATTAGATATTGAGAAGAAAATGCCTCCAAGAGTAAATTAGAATATCAGTTTGAGGTAGATAGAGGAAACTGACTATCAAAAATACAGAGAAAAATGCAAGGAATCATAGACTGAGGTGTTATTAAGATGGTCTTTGGGCAGGGAACCCAAGAATAACCAAATTATTCCCTAGACCAACCAACCTCTGGTGAGGTCTAGACCACAACTAGAGAATGCCTTTTTTACTGAAGACTGGCCTGAAAGGTTTAGAAACAAAGTAGAGAGCAAGTCAGTCTGAGATCTCATCACTCCAAAGCCAGCAGAGAGAAAGGGAGTCCATCAGTCTCCTCACATAGGGGTATATCTGGCCCTTTGTTACTCTTCTGGGAGAAATGTCCAAAAAGGACATTCCCACATGTGCTCCAACCTTTGCAAGTGCCGCTCTACCTACCCAGGAGTTCAGTGACCAGTCAGATGTTTCAATCTTTCAATCCAAATCTGTACTCCTGAAAGATGGAGTGAAGGAGAGGGGTAGAATGAAGAAGTGGGTAACAGGGAGCCTGGAACTCCTCCTAGAGGTCAATGGAGAGAAGAGTACAGACATTGCAATAAATAGCAATGGGTTATACTCCCCTATCAAAGGAAAAAAGACTCCAGGATTGGAAACATAAATGAAATCCAACTAGCTGCAAGAGATAATAAAATAAAACAATACAACAAGACAATCATGAAAAAGAAAGGCAAAGGAAAAAATATTTATGGTAAGGTGGGGAAAAACGGTTAGGAAATGATAAAACCAAAAGGTAGAACTTAGGAGAAAAATATCAAATTTAAAAAGTTATGGTACATGAATAAATAGATCTACTGCTCCCATAAAGCAAAACTATTATAAACAGAAGTTTCTAAAATTATAATTATAATGGGAGATTTTAGAATATTTCTGATAGGCCAAGGCAAAAACTAGTAAGGAATTATAAAAAAAAATCAAATAATAAAATTAGTAAGCATGCTTTAATAGACATAAACTAAATTTATCAAAGTACAGAGAATACACACCTTTTAAGAACATCTATTAAAGTTTTAAAAATTGATCAAATATTGGATAGAAAGTAAGCATGAATAAATTCTATAAAAATAGAAACTGTATACATAATATTTTATTTATTATTAGTTTTTATTTTTTAATGGAGGTATGGGGGATTGAACCCGGGACCTCATGCATGCTAAGCACATGCTCTACCACTGAGATATATCCACCTCCCTAGAAACTGTATAGATAATTTTTTAGCATCATCCAACTGAATGAGAAATTAGTAACCAAAGGACTAAAAATTGGGAATTTAAAATTATCTGAAAAAACTCTTGGTTCAAGTAGAAAAACTAAAATTGGACACTATTCAGACCTCAACAGTGAGAACAGTACCTATCAAAGCAGATAATGCAACTGATGCTACATTTACAAGAAAATTCATATTCTTAAATGATTTCATTATTAAACAAGAATGAATAAAAACAATGAACTAAGCATTAATTTCTAGAAGATATAAAAAGAAAAATGAAATAAATCCAAGGAAAGCAGGGGGAAGGAATCAATAAAAGATCAGGGCAGAAATTATAGATTTAGGAAGTCAGCAGAATCAATGAGCACATCCAAGAGATAGCTAACAAGCCTGATTCTAAAAAGCAAAGAATGCTTGCTTCGGCAGCACATAGATTAAAATGGGATTGAAATAGAGAAGATTAGCATGGCTCCTGTGCAAGATGACATGCAAATATGAAGTGTTCCATATTTTTATAAATTAGGAGTTTGGGATTAATAGATACATACTACCATATGTAAATAGATAAACAACAAGGACTTACTGTATAGCACAAGGAATATATTCAATATCTTGAATATCTATATTTTTTTGTTTTGAGAGGAGGTAATTAGGTTTATTTATTTATTTTGGTAGAAGTACTGGGGATTGAACCCAGGACCTCGGGCATGCTAGGCATAAGCTCTTCTACTGAGTTATACCCTGCCCACCTTAAATATCTATAACAGAAAAGAATCTGAAAAAGAACATATATATGTATATACATATATATAACTGAATCAATTTGCTGTACACCTGAAACATACACATATTATAAATCAACTATACTTCAATAAAAAAGTAAATAAATAAAAAGCAAAGAAAAAACACAAATATATAGAGTGATAATAAAGAAAATATAATTGCTAAGAAGAAAAGAGATTTTAAAAAGTGTGAGAGAATACCATATGAGACTATGCGAATATTACCAAAAACTTCAGTAAAGTGGAAATTTTCTAGGAAAATATACACAATGAAGATTATTTTACGAAGAGAAAGAAACCTGCATATACCAATAACTGTAGAACTGGAGAGGTTCTCAGAACAGCGCCCCACAGAGGCAGCCCAGGCTCTGAGGGCCTTTGGAGGAGGTGAAGGGCCCATCCTCACCTGCCACCTACATCCTCACTCAAAGTAAGCAGGAGAGAGTTTCCCTACAGAAGACACAAGTAACAGAATTCTTTTGCATTTGTTTGGGTGCAGAAGGTCAGGGAAAGGATATTAACACATATTTAACATCGGTAATGCTAAGGGAAAAGGACAAGACTGTTATGCTATTTTACTTCATTTTGTCTGACTTCTCTTAATATGGTCAAACACCAAAGGATCAGTGTTGAGGAAGACAGTGCCCAAGAGAGAAGAGGGAAAAACAAAATTAAACCTTCACTTGGTTACGATCTGCCAGGCACTATGAGGGATTCCTTTAGAGTTCCTGCACTGTCCAATACTGTAGCCACTAGCCCCATTTAAATCCAATTATAAATTAATTAAGATAAAATAAGAAACATTCAGTTCCTCTGTTGCTCTGCCTACATTTCAAGTGTTCAATAGCTGCTACACTGGGTAGTGAAAATGACAAATTTCATTAGTCACAGAAAGTTCTGGACAGGACTGTGATATGCTGGACTTTGATGCAACTCTGGGTGACCAAGATTAATTCAGTTTCTCAGGCTGAAACTCCTTCAGTTAGTTAAATACACTAAAAATGGTGGAAATTCACATAATTTAATGTCCAGAGTAGAGGCTTGGTCCAATCTCAGCCAAACTGTAACTGATTCTTTTAACATGAAACAGTATTCAATGTATTAGCTATTTTATTTCCAGAAAAAGTAATATCCAAGCAATAATATCCATTTGTATGATTTAACAAGTTAATGCAAAAGAAAAAATTAAAATAGGAAGGATAAAGTGTTACTCACTAACTACTATAAATAAAAGTATTATTAGTTTAATATTAGAGGCAATTAGATGAGAAAATTTCCTAAATTAATACATACATTTTCAAAAACCAAAAAGTTCTTTTCCTCTCTACTTAATTGCTTTGTTTCTTCGGGCTGGTGTCTGTTTCCACACCTAAAGCAGTGCTAGGATTCCCTGCAATCTCTGTTTATCACACACTGTGTACTTGGGATTCAGGGATATCTGAATCATAGAAACAGTATTTTAACCTAGGAAAAAATCTTTAAACATTTATGTAAATTATACCTTTAAAAATAATATTTCAGATTTCCACCCTCTGCCCTATCTCCTTTCTTTAAAATGAGTGGTTACAAGGGTGGGTTTTGGGACCCAACTGACCAAGTTCAAATCTCAGTTCCACATTTACTAGCTGTGTGACCTTAGGCAAATCACTTAATTTTTCCTCTCTAAATTTCGTATTTGTTATCCCTAAAATTAGGGCAATGATTGTGGCGACTTTAGGGCTTGTGGAGAGAATTCAGTAATATAAAACACAGAATGAGCCTAGAATAGTGCCTGGACATAGGAAGTGCTCAAGCATGTTATAACAATGCATATTATAACAGTATCGTAATGATTAAAATAAAATGCCCTGATTATTGTTAGTATGATTAAACTATTTTAATGCACTTAAACTCTTCGAAGCTCTGTTTAAACATTGGTCTATCTTGCCAACATTATTGAGAACCTGTTTCTCAGGGCCGGTACTAAGTGCTGGATTTATAAAGACAAATGCTACATGATCCTGCCCTGGAGGAGCACAGAGCCCAGTGGGAGAGAAAGACGCACACACATATAAACAGATAAATCACCACACAACCTAGTTAAATGCCACAGCACAGAAGCAAGGATAGGGCACTGGGGGAGGGCAGAGGCTGGAGAGACAACTCTGCCTAGGGGAGCCGAAGGTTTCATTGCTATTATGCAATTTCTTCTGGAAGATGTACAGGACCTTTGAGAAATGACTTCTAGCATAAGCAGATTTTTTTAAACTACAAATACTGGTCAAGCAGACTATTTGCATATGCAAATCACAGATACGAAGACAAACACATACACCCCTGATTTAGAAAGTACTGCTCAGAAGGGAAGAAAGGAAGTTAAAATGTTTCCATCAAGAAAAGGCTGGTGGATAAGGGCTAAACATGGGCTGAATGAGCCATCACAGACTGGTGAGTGCTGCTCCTGGGCCCTCGTTCACTTCTGCTACCTGCAGAGAGAGGCGAGAGTGTGGGAAGCAGGGACCAGAGGAGAGGTTCTCTTCTTCTCACTTTTTCACCCCAGTCCTAGTCTGCCTGTGCCAAAGGGCGGGGAAAAGATTTGGAAGGCTGGGCAGCTGGAGTGCAGAGCACAGGGTGCATGTCAGAACACGCAGATTGGTTAGAAGATTCTCTAGCTGGGAAGATAAATGTTGACTGAAGAACCACCAAAGCCTCGGATCAGGGCTCAGACTTTTCTTATCCTCATCTCTGGCTACCATCCTCAGAAACTCAACGTCCATCATGATGATTCATCTCATGTCTTGAGCCCACGTCCTTTTGTTTTCTCAAATCTAGTGACCTCACTTGACTTCATGGCTTTGCCATCCACTACTAAGACCCCAAACATGCTCTCACCCAGACTGGTACAGCTTTGTCATCACAGCACCTAACTTATAACCCACTCTGGCTCTTTCAGTACATATTCTAGCTGGGGATCAACCCTGTACTTACCAACACACAGACCTTCGTACTGCTGACTGCTCCTCAAGCCCATCAAGTCAAGTCCCAGCTCTCAGCCACTCCCACCAAGTAAACTCTCACTCTTCCTCTTCTGTGTTCAAAGAGACAAGTTTCCATACGACTAAGCCTATGTCAAGCTCCTGCTCCCTGACCACGGCTGGGTTGTCACTGCCACTCCCCAGTTCTTTTATCCATGCCTTTTTCACTTCCCATCATATCTCCCATCTTGCCCCTGGCTTGTCAGTCACCAAATTACCACTTCAGAAACACATTTTCTTCTAAGCAGTGGCCTTTCCATCTATTCTATTCAGCAATCTGAGGCAAGTCAGGATGAGTAGTCATCTAACCCTCCATCTCAAAATATATCCATCTCGATTTCCCACTAAAATAATATCTGACCTGCAATCCCTGATACTCAGATTCCCAGTAAAATATTTGTAAAGATTCAGCACAAAAGATGACACTTCATGAGCCTGAAGACTGATTGTCCATCCTATGGCCAAAATATCAGGACACTTTCTACTTACTATATGGCCAGTGGAGAAGAACTGGGAAACATATTTGGTTACTGACTTTGTTGCCTGAATCAGTAAATCTGTTCACAGAATCTGATCACAGAAAGCTGGAGGGCAATTTACTCTTCTTTCCATCATCTCTTGGCTAAGAAACACTGGGTCCATATGAAGAGTGACAATAAAATACTGGGAGTCATCCTTTTACTTCATGAAATACTGCATTTTGAGGTAGCCCCAGCCATTCCAGCACCAAGAAAACATTGGGCAAGATGTGGGGAGGGAGGGAGACAAAGTCCATCTTAGAAAACACAAAGCAAAAAGTGCCGCAGGTAGGGAGAGAGACAGGAAGGGTCCTGGTAGCAGAGCAGCCTAGGGAACACAGTTTTGCCAATATGCCAAGCAGTTGGCCGCACCAAAGTGTCGCTGGGGACGGGGAGAGATTTAACCTTCATAATCTCCATCGCATTCTTTAATCTACACAGGTGATATTTTCTCAAGCTTCTGTAAAGAGCTAAGCAAACATTACTTTAATAATCCTCTTCCAACCAGACTGCTACCTGTAGCTCCCTAAGTCCCGGCTGTATGTATCTAGAGCCACTGGTTCAGAGCAGCAGAAAGTCAAGCACAGAACATCCTATCTCATTCCCGTGAGCTTTACAAGATAAACACCAACTAGACCATGGATATTTGGATATTGATCCAGATGTTTAGTTCAGAGCAGCTGCAGTACCCAAAAGGACAATGAGAGCTGAAGGCCAGTTGTACATTGTCTGTTGAAAATACAAGGTTTGAATAGCTCTTTGTTTTCATTTGAAGATTTTGTAAAAAGAAAAAAAAACAATGCAACATTGTAAATCAACTATACTTCAAAAAAAAAAAGGAGTTATGAAAAAAATGCTACATATTATCCTGAAAACTAAAAAAGGAAGCACATCATTTTTTTACTATGAAACCAAAAAAAATTTTAGAAAAGCAGTTGTAGTCCTCAGTGAGACAGAAAACACAATTTTTGTAACAAGTGTATACAGCTTGTGGAAGTGGGCAAGATTAAAAAAAAAAAAAGAGGACCAAAAATGAAAATATAGAATTTAAATCCTGATTGGAGGAAGAAAGCAAAATGTTTACTGTAGAAAACAGACACAGTAATATGTTTATCATTTGAGATGGTTTCCTAGAATGAAAAGGAACAAAATAAAATGAAAATAATGAGAAAGAAAAGACAGTTACGGAGGACAGAGAAA